CTGTCTCGTGCTAGATTTACATACGATAATTTGTTTTTATTGGTTAACACGTTGATGGACACGCCATGCTATAGCATTCTATGTGTTTTGGTATTGCCGGTGCATGACTGCTATAGCATTTGTTATTGTAAATGTTGATTTAGGGTCAAAAAATGAAACTTTATGTGATGTACAACTGTACAACCTCTTTGGTGGTATACCATAATATCTTTATCACACGTGCGCTTATCGGGCAAACCCGCCAAATTCATAATACAACGTATTTTGTTATCAATTATTATCATTATGATTATTATCCACAAACGAAAAGCAACAAAATTTTAAAAACATTACTACTAAAACATTTTACTTTTTTATTTAAGATTTATATTTAAACGTATTTTATTAATATATTATTATAATGGATGAAGATAGCCGAATACTGGAAATGTTAGATGACGTGGAAAATGATAAGTCGCTTAATATTTTTGGTATTAGGGATATATAAATTAAAACTAACCATAGGTATTATGTGGTTATTGTTATATTTTAGATAATTTTTTCAACATCTGGCGAATCATATGCAGAAGATTCTCATCAAAGTGATGGTAATTCGTACATAACTGACAGTGATGCTGATCATTCTACAACACTGTCAAGCTCAAATATAAGTTATACTAGTCCGGATATTGCAGTTGCTGCAAATAACATAAATAATAATGATAATGAAATTGACAGTGATAGTGTGGTAAGTTCTGATTCTAACACTGATACAGAAGAGGATGAAAGTGATTGGGAAGATGAAAAATTTGGTAATATACAAGATTTTGAATTTGATGTTAGTACAGCTGGAACAAAATTTGAAATAAACAATGAGACTTCAGCTATTGATGTTTTTTTTAAATTTTGGGATGAGGAAGTATTCAACTTATTACTTACATGCACTAATAACTATGCAAAAAAAATTGGCACTTTAACTCGTCCTCATACAAAAGGTAGTAGAGCTAAAAATATTACAAAAATTACTCGAGAAGACTTAGAAAAATTTATTGGATTATGTTTACTCAAGAGTCAGTTGAAAATCCCAATATTACGAAAAGCATTTAGCAATAATCCAATGTATTACCATCCCATTTTTAATTATACTATGTCTGGTAGAAAATTTGAAAAAATTCTTAGATGTTTTAATAGCTCCGAAGGTATTTCTATAAATCCTTGTGATAGATTACATAAAGTTTCAACATTAGTTGACATACTAAAAAACAAATTTCAATCTAATTTCAGCCCTTATGAGGCTCTATCTTTGGATGAGTCCATGTTGCTTTGGAGAGGGCGACTATTATTCAGACAATATATAAAAAATAAAAAAAACAAATATGGAATTAAGTTTTTTGAGTTATGTACACCTGACGGTTATGTACTGAATACTGAAATTTATAAAGGAAAGACTGATCAGGTGTCAAATGGTTCAAAAATAAATGATCTAGTCATCAGATTGATGAAACCATATATAAATAAGGGTCACCATTTATACATGGACAATTTTTATAACTCAGTGGATTTGTCAAATATTTTGTATAAGAAGAAAACACATACAACAGGCACATTAAGAAGTAATAGAAAGAAAAATCCAAAATCAATTACAACAAAAACTTTGAAATTGAAATTTGGTCAACATGTTTTTGCTAAAAAGGGCCCAATTTATGTCAGTCGCTGGAGGGATAAACGGGAAGTGCTATCAATTACAACTGGACACAAACCTGAGATGGTTTCAGTCAAAAATAAATATGGACAACAAAAAATGAAGCCCAAGCACATTGCTGAGTACAACTTAAACATGTCAGGGATTGATCGAAGCGACCAAATGATAAGTTACTATTCTTCACCAAGAAAAACTATTAGGTGGTATAAGAAAGTTATCTTCCACTTTCTGGATATTTCTGTATGGAATGCATACTATTTGTATAAAAAATCCCTGTCAACTAGCAACTACCGTTTTATTGATTTTCGTGAAGCCATAATTCAAAAACTAATATATTTACCAGAGAACATTATTCATGGAAACCAACTAATTAAAAATAAAAATATTCATAGAAATATGAATAATTTACCAAGACCAACATCGCCAATTTTAGGACACATGCAAGAAAAAATTCCACATCCTCCAGGTATAACAATATAAAAAATATTTCAATATAAAATGTTGTAAAATTATTGTTTTAGGTTGGAAAAGAAGTGGATATTTCCTGCGATGTAGACAGTGCACAAAGCAAAAAAAAGTTAAACAGACCTCATGGAGGTGCAAAATGTGTCCTGAGCAACCGCCATTATGTCCAGGAATTTGTTTTTCAATGTATCATAAACTTGAGTAATAATCATATAAATAAAACCAATTTAATATTTATGTTTTATTCACAATCCATATAATTGTATGGGTTTTGTTATGTGTTTATTACTAATTTTTACAAAGTTTGTATTGTTTTATTTTATTTTGTTATTTTAAGTTTTATGAAGAAGTATATATTTATGTTGTTCCTTATAATTTTCACTAAGCATGTGATATTGTATTTTTATTAATTTTATTGAAAGAACTTAGGTTTTTTTTTACAAGTTTTATAAAGTTTGTTTTTTTGTTTTATTTTATTTCGTTATCGTAAATTGTATGAAGACTGAAGAGAAATATAGACTTATGTTGTATTCGATTTTGATTTTTTACTAAATACTTTATGTTCCATTGCATTTATAATTCAATTATTTTTAAAAACAGTGGAAGTATTTGCACGGTTTCATTAGGAAAAACGATACATGCTATAGCAGTCGTGCACTGTTAGGCAGTTGTGCAATACCATGCTATAGCAGTCATCTTATTTTTTTTTTCTAAAATACTCCATTATTATACACTGATTATAAAAATATAACTTTCATAAAAATCGGACGAAAACTTCAAGAAATACAGAGTGATGCTAAAAGGTCAGAAATGTGGTGCCATGCTATAGCAGTCATGTCCATCAACGTGTTAAGATAATAATAATATTTATTTATTATACATTTGTCAATACGTC